CAATATATTTTTATTAAAGTAAATTATTTTATACATCGTCTTAATCTTTCTCTTTTTTTGTCTTATTATTTTCTATAAAAATTTTTAATTTTTCATCAAAAGGAGGAAAATATGTGATCTTGTTAAACATAGTTTTCAATCACTTAAATGTTTTTAGGGACGTGATTGTAAAACCAATACTAGTGCTACCGGAAGGATTCCCTGTAGAAATGACAAAATCTGCGTTCATCTGTCCGAAGGACTTCAGCGATGATTCCATCATAACTTGGAATCTCGATCTACCTAACGATTTGGTACCCGAGAGCGCGAGAGCATACGTGTCCCTGATAGGAGATATCCTGGGTCCGGCGCTCGAGAATCTAGATAAGCTCGTTCGTTTGCCGATGGGATGCGGCGAGCAAAATATGATTCTCTTTGTTCCTAATATCCATGTTATTGGCTACTTGGACGCTTCTGGAATTGATAATCCGGAGCTAAGAGCAAAAGCGATCAAAAATATGGAAAAAGGTACTATTTAATTTTCATCTTTTTAATTAGCGATTAAGAATAAGTTTTTTGATATTATATTTGATTATGCGATACAGGATATCAGCGCGAATTAATATATAGACATCCGGACGGTTCGTACTCCGCGTTCGGTCCGGAAAGCTCAGAGGATGGTAGCTCGATTTGGCTCACCGCATTCGTGATCAAATCCTTTGCTCAAGCGAAGAATATAATTCACATCGACGAACGAGATCTCAAAATTTCTGTAAAATGGATGGTGAAGAAACAATTGGAAAATGGATGCTTCCCTGTGATTGGCAGAGTATTCCACAAAGATATGAAGGTATCACATACGCAGCATTAAATCTTTTTTCGAACAAGTGACACTTGGTACTCTTAAATGTGTTTACAGGGCGGTCTGCAAGATGACGATACTTCTTCCTCGGCATTAACGGCTTACATTTTGATCTCGCTCTTAGAATCGGGCGTGCCATTAACAGCATCACTCATTAATAACGCTCTACATTGCCTGGAGAAAGGAATGGAGAATGACGGCGGTACAACGTATACGGCAGCTTTATCCACCTATGCCTTAACGTTATTAGAACATCCAAAAGCGAACAACAGCATGAAATTGCTTATGAAACGTGCAACGCGGAACAATGTACGAATAACAAAATTTACTCTAATTTTACCCTCAACCCTCAACTAGATCTAAGTTTGGAAGCAAGCCTGTCCAGAAAACTTAGCTCGCGAGCCAAGTTTTGAACAAAGCTAGTTTTAAAGTGACCTGTTTGAAGTACAGAATGCAAGTGAACTTTCGCCTGTAGTGATTGATAGAGAAAGATTCAAGTTTTTGTTATGTATGATTAAAAATTTCATAATACAGGATTGTATCAATCATTGCACAAAAATAAAAATACAAAAATTTTTAGTTCGGCTCTAAATCTGTTGCTGTAGTCGAGTTTACGTTAATGAAAATATATAAGATAAATCTCGGTGTCTATCTTCATGATAATTTTCGTTTGCTAGGATCTTCTCTGGTGGGAAGATAAACATAAACCATCGCTAGGACTGAGCATCGAAATGACAGCATATGCCGTGCTATCTTTGGTGAAGTTAGGCGGCGAGACGAATATGGTCGAGGCATTGAAGGCAGTCCGTTGGATGTCGAAACAACGCAATGCGGAAGGCGGCTTCACATCTACACAGGACACTGTGCTTGGCCTGGAGGCGCTCACAAAGTACGCCGCTGCGATGTCGAGCAACACAACAGACCTTTCGGTGCTCGTGACCGCCGGTGAGGTGGACCAGGTGTATAGAATGTATAACGATAATCGTATGGTCCTCACGCAGATTCGTCTGCCCGTCATACCAACGATAGTCGAGATCTTTGCCGAAGGTGAAGGCTGCGTCTTAGTACAGGTAGCTTTAAATTTGTTCATAGAATTTTATAATAAAATATTCGATATTCGTACTAAACCATAAATTCATAAGTATAAAGAATTCGAGAAAAGAATTCCTTCTCTTACTTGACTTATTTATATTGATTTAATTTCTACTCATAATTATTTTCAGAGCAATATAAAGTACAATGTTGCACATGCGACCGGCTCTGAAGCCTTTGATCTCTCAGTTAATGCAGCTCCCGCAACGTGGCTGAACGAATGCTCGAGGCAAAAAATTACAATTTGCACGCGATATAAAATGGCAGATGGGGAAAGTAATATGGCATTACTAGAGATCAACATGGTAAGCGGATACGTCCCGGATCGTACGAGCCTTCATTCTCTGTTGGAAGATCCAGCCACAAGTGAGTGTGCAATCAAAGAATATATTAAGAGGTACTAATAGATCAAATTTATTCCCTTGTGTGACACACAAATATTTGTAGAAGTGAAACGTTTCGAGGATGATCGCGGTATCGTCACCATTTATTTCGACAAATTAATCAACCAAAAGACCTGTATATCATTTACGGTGACCAGAGAAAATATTGTGGACAGACTTGAACCAGCGAATGTAAAACTTTACGATTACTACCAACAGGAGTTGACGATATCTAGCGTAAGTTTACAAGAATATTCTCAATAAACACCAATTAGCAATGATATAATTTCTTAATTTCCTACTCAACAATATAACTATTACGTACAATGTGCGTTAGATATTATATTTATATTGTTGAGTAGGAACATTTAATATTGATGTAATGTTACTGTCAGTATTTATCGGGTTGTTCATGATTCATTAAATATCTAAAATATAACTATAAATATACATATTTTATATATTTGCGTTATACATTTTTCAGAGCTACAGTTTTGCGGCGACTTGCAGCAGTGCTACTCCGAGTGAAGAAGTGGAGGTTCCCAATCCGGTGCCGATAGAGGTACAGGAAATGGGCAAGGACACCGCGAAGAAGGATACTGTGGAAAAAGAAGAGGATATAATCGAGAAAACAGCTGAAATCCCGAACGATCGAAACGGAACTGTAGAGCAGATAGGTAAGGCGACTCAGAACTTTGACCTGGTCAAGCAACTCCGTGACAAAGTAACAAATGAGAAATCGGTAACCGGCATACAGTCTAGAAGCGAGAATATTTCACCGGTAGACAATTCCAATCCTAAAGTAAATAGTGACGATATCAATACCGTTACGAATGTTAGCGCAGCCAACAATAACGGCGTCGAGTCTGGTAATATGGATAGTTAATGAATATTACGTACATAGCTCGAGAGTAATGAGAGAGTAATGAGAATGATTTATACTGAAATCTTCTATTGAACTTATACATTTACATGATTAAATTCAAATGTATTAAAGTATGCTTTTAGTACGCATTTCCAATAGAAGTATATTTTAAGAAATCACGTTCAATTGTGTATAAATATAAGCTCGAAATGTTTAACTAAATTATTCTTATTATTTTCGGGATAAATCTCTTTCTTTTTCTTGTATCATATATCTTCTTCATAATTTTCTAAATTTTCCAAATTTCTTAGTACCACAAAGAGAAGCGGGAAGCGGTCAAACGCCGGACGAGCCGGACATCAATTTAAATCCCGTATTTGACAGGCTCGGACCACCCAGCATAGATCTCGAGGACATGGAGGCACCGTTCTTAACTTTTAACAGACAGGGCCAAGATCCTTTTGCGACAGACTTCGACAGAAATCCGCTCTTCGTTGTGGTTGATCACGAACTAGCGACTCCCGAGGGTATCGAAGGGCCTGTACCGGTTTCTGTCAAACCCGGTATCATACATTTTGACGACAATCCTCTATCAAATATGACCAATGAAACCGATCAGAAAATAGAAGTGGATCTGAACAACAACGAAACATTACGTACGTAAATTCGAATAAACGTGAAAATTACTCAAAATGGAAACCATTTTGATTTTCCTCATTCAGAGAAATTGGATCTTATATATACAATATAGCCTCTCATACAGCATAGACTTTCAAGAGATGTCCTAAAGATATCTAGAGGATGTTTCTACAACCTAAAAAACATTTCCAGAACGTCCCTCAGATAAAGTGCTATGGAAAAAAAAATAGAAATTGAAAACTTCACTGATTCAGCAAATCTACAATCGTAATATACAGACAGTCAATTTTCTGTTAAAGTAGCAAAGTTAACAGCTTAATATTAGCGATTTGTTAAACCATCAAATCTTCTTAGTTACAGATATTAAATTCACGCAGTAAGTTATAAGTTTGCTGTCCCACTCAATTAATTTTTTTTCCGAGTGTGCTGTGTACTTGTTGCAATTATTCAGCTTATATTTTTTTCAAATTAGAAATGATATAAATAAATAAAATTAAAATCTTTTCTGTTATATATAGTGATACCGGCACTCAAATAATATTTTGTATTTCAGCACCTCTTGGTTTGAACGAGTCCTGCCCTGTATGCGCCGATGAATTACCGTCGAATATTAATGAATTTTATTGCTCCGCCAGTAGCGTCGTAAAGGCGGCGATCAGACGATTACGTAAAGCAAGGCTTCTATTAGATATGCAATCATCGCACGAAGTCACACGCCTGCATTCGATGATCGCATTTATCTTAAGGCCCAATTGTTCTTGCCCGCCTTTAGATAACCGTAAGTATACAACTGAGCATAATTAAGAACAACTATATACTATCGTCATTATATATTCACTATTATTATTTATAATTTGAATTATATTATAGCTGGAAGTCTAGCACTGCTGATGCACTTCGAGGACGGCGAGTTTGCTAAGCGCTCGCATAATCGATACGTCTTAGACGAACAGGTTTCTATATACGGATTACCACCGATTGGTGGTGTTCCACGTGAGATAACGGACGCTCGAGCAACGTGTGCGAATCAAGATAATAGCGCATTTCTTAATCTTCCTACGGCTGACTGATCTTCGGCGTTCCGCTGAGAATATACTAAATACAAACAGAAATAACAGAACACGTCATGTATCGTATCAGCAAAACACTCAATCGAGAAGAAAAAAACTTAATCGTTTTCAGCCTTACATATACAAAAATTAAATTACTTGAACTAGAATAAGATTTCTCTTGATTTGAATCAAGAAATTCATCGTTGCAATTTGATTCATTAATTTTAGCACGTCTCCTGTATGTAATTTGAAAGTAAATTTTACACAGGGTATGTAGTCGAATACACTCTGAACTTTCATCGCAAATCACTCTTCTGCATCTCCCACCGTACACATATCTCGACATCACATATTCTATGTTAAGAGTATGCGATGAGAAAACATAATATCTAATAGAATAAAGTTTTTACAGCGAAAGTCGCGTTATATCGATTGTATTGTGTTATATCGTTTAATTCTCGTAATTGTGAATAGCAAATAATTTACAAGTTAACAATAAACTGTAAATAAAGCACAGCGATTTATGATATAATAATTGGGTAATTCAATGAATATATCCATGAAATGTTAATCTTTAGTGTCGTATTTTCCATCACTGATTTGAATGTGCGAGCTATGTTTTTAAGGTGAGTAATAATACATCAATTTTTTGTTGATTAGTTTGTGAATGAATTAGCTTATGTAATTTTTCTAAACATTTGAAAATTATATTTTCTTAGATAAACTCGACTGTGCAAATTTAATTCCGGAGAGCCAAGAAACGATGTTTAAATAAAAAAAAAACAAAAAAAACAATCCTTTCTAAACAATGAAAAATTTGACAGAATTCGGTTCGAACAATTTTTACGCGTACAAGAATGATAGAAGCAAGAAGTATGAAAATATTTTGAACGAATGTGTTGTATCTTTATTTGTTGCTCATGTTTGATCGCACTGTAATAGTTATTACAAATTAACAATCACCCGAATCGAATTCTCGCTACATTAAATAGTATTCCGTTATAATGTATGTACGATATATTTAGTTAATAATTATATACGATTTCAATTCGTGATCATATTGTCCATTTGACATTTAATATTGATAAGATCGAGTTTGTTACTATCACACGAAATGATATTTTAATTAAATTTAAATTCTTCGTTCGTTATATTAAATCTTGCACTTTCCAAAGGACAAGCCTCATTAAATATCAAATGGATAGATTCTCTGGAAGTATTATTATTTATTCACGCTGTATACAGTTAAATGCTTGAAATAAATAAACATATATAACTATTGCTTACTATACACTATTCATCGCGCTGGTTCGCTACAATACCATTGAGAACTTAACTACGTAAGGAATGAAAGGATGAATGTAATTGGCAGTAATAATCGGTATTCGCCGCCCATATCTCGCGCTAGATGACAAACACATGTTTTCGACTGCGAATGTCCAAGATAGGAGTAGGCAGTGTATTACTTGCGGCGAATATGCATTGGCAAGAATGACGGAGTAACGCAAACAATGAGCATAAAGATATAGTGTGTAAAAAAAAGATCTAATAACGTGACATCTGACATTTGATAACGGAGCAATACTCGATCTCAAGGCGATTATCCCATCAAGGGGGGACCTATATTTTTCCCTTAAATTCGCCAAGAGACGCAGTGAATGTAGCTTGCAAGCAATGACGATCATAAAATACATCACCTTCGCGAAGGCGCGACACATACGCTTATTAACATTTATCGACATTGAGAGAGATGTCGTATAGTATAGACTATTAGTACATGTACCACCGATTCGTAACCGAGAGCTATATCTCGACGGCGGAGAATACACTACCAAAAAAAATGGCCATCCCGATGAAGTTAAGCATGGAATACTAAACAAAACAAAGAAAAAAGAAGAAAGCATTTAAACTAACAAAAACAGATTCACGCCTCTCTTATATAAAAATGAAAAAACTCGTAAAATACTATATGTAAGATCTTTAACAACTGATATGGATATGCATTTACAAATTTCACAATTCGAATACACAAGCTCGATATTAAATTATGTATGACTTTCTCGCGGAATCGCTAGAATCTGTCGTATATTCGTTTACAGACTAAGCAGTAGCGATAATAGATCAATTAAAAAATTCGTGTCAAGCTGTGTTTTTAAGCAGAAAAAATATAGAACTATAAGACACAAGTTGTACTGGAGTATTGTCGTTGTATCGGTACGGATCTTACGAGACAATTCCCTAATCAAATCAGTTTTCTTTATAAATATTAATACGCATTATAAAAATCTTCCTACATGTTGCATTCTTTTCGGATATTACGCTACAAATATAATTGCTATATATATAATACCGTTAAACCTACGCAAAGCTATTCCCGATCGATTCTTATTTAATCGTGCATTGCTTCAATATACGCGTCTCGTTTTATTGTACAATAAATCATATATCGATTTAATATGGAGCCTGCGTGTTATCAGGGGAATTTCAGCGGGCGGGCTAAATTACAGAGACGCAATAAACGTAACGCTGGCCTTGGTATATTTATGCATGTAATTATGCAATGAAATTGATGCATGAAAATATTAGATGAAGAATCGAAAGATACTGGTTTCTATCTGACTGATTTTTATCGTACCTTACGCGTCAATTATGCCAGAATGAGAATAGCACGTTGCTGGTAAAGCAACACATTGTTACGGACTTACGCGAAGGTCGCTGCTGTACTACTCAGTAGATTTTGGGTGCCGAACGATCGTTGATTGGGCCGCTAGTCTTCCTCAGCGAGGTACCACGTCTGATCTGATCCATGAGGGAGTCTCTCATTTGCAGAGGATCCATGATAGGCACGCGATTACCCATGATGCGCCTGATACTCGCGGATCTGCTCGTATTCCCCGCCTGCTGCAGAGCCTGTTGCTGCTGCGCCAATTTGGCGTTCAGCGTCTCGAGAAAGCCAGAAGCCGCCGTTTTAACGTTCTTGGATTGTTGTTGTTGCTGCTGCTGTTGCTGCTGTTCCAAGAGCTGCTGTTTCCTAAGAGACTTTGGGCTCATGTTCACGCCCGCCGTGGCATTGCCGCTCATGGTACCAATAAGTTTAGCGTTGAGCACTGCCATGAAACCCTGGCCTACGCCGCCCGGTCCTTGGCCTGCAGTTTGTCCAGCTTGACTGACGGTACCACTGGCTACGTTGATTTGTGAGTTGACAGACCCGCGTTCTTGGGACGACGAACGAGCAGCCGAGGAACGTTCAACCGATGAACGAGTTATCTGCAGTACGGCGTTATGTTGGATGATGCTCGAAGGATTATTGTGCCCTTGTTGCTGTCCAGTAGTCTTTCGTAAGAGCGACGGACTGGCTGGTGTATGACGAAGCTCGGTCAGAGTTCTCACTGTCTCGGAAACCGAGATGGATCTACAAAAAATGAAGCATTAAGTAGAACGGACTCGCATCAAAACTGGAAAGAGATTAAATCGTGACATTGGAACTTTCAATTGTAGAGTTTATTGTAGCTAAAAATATTAAGCAACATCGATCTTCACCTCTGAGGCGTAGGGCTGACCGTGGGTGAAGAGCTTTCGAGAAGGAACGCAGGTGGCGGAGGAAGGTTCTCTGTCTCATCGCAAACATTCTCGCCCCGATCTTCATTAACGGATGAAGTAGGAGGTACAGTGATGACGGTGGATGTGCGTCTTGTCGGTGGCGGCGGTCTGCTCGTCTGCTGTGCTGACCCTCTACGTGTCACTAACGTAGCTGCGGAGCCAGGTACGTTCCACATGTTTTCGTTTTGATTGTGAAGCGAATGAGAGTGTGGCAAAGTATTTTGGCTTCCGTATCCACTGCTGGATTCCAAACTGGATTCGGATGTCTGACTGCCAGCGTCTTTCTCCGGGACTTCGATCTACACGATTCAGCGAAACGTAAGCAAAATTGAAAGTATTTATTTAAAATATTGTACATCTTATGCCTGTATCAGATTAGACTGAGATTGAAATTGAATTTGACTAATCAAAGTAAAGTTTATTAAACTTGATACTAATTTTGTTTCTTCTAATTAGTTAATTTCTATTTCAATCTCAATCTCTCTTTAGTCTAATCTTTAGACTTTATACTTTGTCGCTTTTTTCGTATACCTTGTCAGTTCCTGATGTTGTTAACGATGCTAGAGGAGGAGGCGGTGGAAGTTGCATCTCCTGAGCACGACTAGCAGCTAGATTCGCCAACTCGTGCATGTTTACGTACATTGGTTGTTGGAGCTGATGGCTTGCCAATTCTACAGGACCGTTACAACGGTAAGTCTCATATCGAATCATAGCTCACGTAGTTTACGTATCGATGGTAAACAAACCTTTTGCCAAATGAGCAGGAAGAGGTAATTTCGGCTTCCCACGAGGACTTCCAGGTGGCTCGTTTTTCACTGGAATCGTCGGTCGTTCCAAACTAGAACACCTATTCGGTATAGGTGGACGATTGCCGCCATTATTTCTACGAAGCTGCACCCTGGACAGCTGCTGATTCGAGGAAGAACATGAAGAGGAAGAGGAAACCGGAGAGGCAGGCTGGCTGTGACAGCAACTGTTACCGTCACGATCCGGAGCTTGAAATGTGTAAACGCTGAGCGCCGGTCTTTGATGTCCCTTTTCGTACGCTGAAATAAATAAAAAAAAAACGTAATTGAATCGTAATTGCGAATCAAATTATGATAAGCATATATATAAATATTACTTACCGGAGGAAATAGTATGTGGCCGTTCGTTCACCGCTCCCGGGTTTTGTCGATCATACTGAACAGACGTTTCCTGCAAATCAGGCCAAGTAGAAGTTGTCACGGGTCGCGTTACAGTACAACCGGTACTTTGATTACTTAGAGAAGACACATTCGATACCTAAAAACACGAGCCTCCTCTTTAACCGACCGCCACGAGAAAGAGCAGGACAAGATAGAACGTGTGAAAATGCATTCTTGAAGTTAAACTACAGAATTCGTTTAAAATTGGGAACATAAGCAGATCTAACAGCATAATCACTAGGCGGCGGAAACTTGTAAGGTCTCACACTTTGAATCTTCTATATTGTGCCATTATAATTTTAACGTGAATATTTCATAGAAATTATAGAATTAATGTTTAATCCTAAACTGTTTTAAAAATTGAATGTTTTTTTTTTAAGAGCTCGTCGTTGGAGGCGACTGACTTTCGTTGCACATCGTCCGTCCGGAGAAGACTATTCATCGTGTAATTCTACTAATCACTAAACGATTTTACCTGATGTTCGGAAATCGGTTGGTTGTACAACGTATCTTGTGATGTAAAACCGGAGTCGCGGGAACTGCCACTAGTCAAATGGCGCAGCGTCGTGATACCGCTGATGCTGGCGGGTCTGACACCAAATGGCTATAACGAGTACAACATCGACTACCACATACAATAAGCGGGCAAATGTAGCAATTAATTCGTGCTGTAAAATCTATATTCGTGATTACTAGGTGCATGGCAGCTGATGCATTAACGGTGTTACTGTCATGCGACATAAAAAAACATCTAATGGATCAATCCGTAAAAAAAAACAAGGTGAGAAAAAAGAGAAAAAGACAGAAGAAACGAAAGATACTGCCGACGCGTAATTACCTGAGAAAGCGATCTATGCCACGGATGTCCAGATGGGCTCGGATGGCTTTTACAAGATCCACTACTGCTACTAGTTAGAGAACTGATCGAACACATAGAACTCTTCCTCGATCCGAGAGACAAAGACGGGCTCGATGGCGGTGTAGCCAATGACCACTGAGTAACGTCGCAACCTTTTATGTCCGTTATTACCTGCTCGGATGCAGGCGGTAAATGATGTGGCGACGCAGCGTGTCTTTGCAATTGATCCGAGACTTCTTGCAGATGCGTCAATTCCATTAACATGGCTATCTCCTCATCCTAAACGGTTGATTATGCATTTATATATGTATATACATCGCCATTGTACGTCAGTTAACGAATGTATATGTACGTATATCTTTAAAATATCTACTAACGAGTACGGGTTTCAGGAATCGGGCAAGGAGACAAAATCTGCCCCTCTCTTCGAGAAGGGCCGCACGGACGGCTTTTCGTTCCGTTTCTTCTAAACTCAGTCTTTTCTCCTGAACAACCGCCGCTGATGACTCTAACATCCTATTGAGCTCCACATCAGAACATGTCCCGTGGCTTTGAGACTGTCCTTGAACATGTAAGTGAACTTGAACCTTTCGTGCTTTCTTCTTTTGCAGACGTAGAGTATCGGTGGAGCGTTTCTTTAGCTCCGCCCTTGCCTTTTTGAATTCTAAAAATAGCGAGATATCGAATTACAGAAGGATGATGCTTCTTGAAAATGTAGTTCATCAAATTACTATAATAATCGTTAAAACCTTTGGCATGTTCTTTGTCTAAATTGATCAAAGACTTCTTCCAATCTTCCAATTTCTCTTGTAAAGGCAGCACCAAACAGTCCATAATAGCGCTTAAAGAAACAAACAGTAGACAGGAGTGCAAAGAATATTCGGATATTAATTGAATAAAAATAATAAAAAAATTAATGAAGTTGTACACAGGATATTTTAACATACCTAGTAAATGACTTCATACGAGTTTCCACCGCTTTATGTCTCAAACATATTCGTGTCAGTGCTGTTCCGATTTCCTTAGTTGCACCTTAATAACAATGTTATTTTAACATCGCTTTATATTTTATATTTTTATTTTGTCTATTTTAATTTATTTAATACAGACATTTAATAATTCAAATTATATAGACAATATATACAAGATTTATTATCATTAATTAATTAATTAATTAATTGAGGCTTACCTCTGGCATTAGTCGCAGCATCTGCTATTTTCTGAAAAGCCTCAAGATATGCGGAAATAGCCAAAATGGCAGCTCTGCAATAATATATGTCTCACATTAAAGATAAAAATTTCTAAGTATCCTAAATCATGCAAAAAATTTCAATATTTATTTTATAAAAAATATGCAACACATAAAACAATTGTGTAAAATCTCTCTTAATGTTGAAGCTATTTAATATAAAATATGTAATAAACATATAATAAAAATGTGCTGGTGGAAAATCTTAATTAATAAAATAAAATATAATATATTTAAAATTATATAAATCTCTTCACCTCAAACTTGCATGTAGCTTTGTAGCTTTTGAAATCAAATCTTCCCAAAGTGGTGCTCCGTTCTATAAAGAGAAACAGAGTATTATAATGCATACGAGATTTTTAATTTTTTTTTTTTATTAATGTCAACATAGCTCTAATGTTAGTTTTTATTGTATTAGTCAAACAGCAATCTGGAATGATATATTGGTAATAGATAACATAATCACACACGCCCCTGCATATTTTTTTCAGTAATGTGTGCACGTGTGTGTATATAAAATATTAGTTTATATAATACTAGAGTTACGATTTCTTAACACATAACTATGATTCATAAGAGAAACTAACTCATAGGAATAGAGGAAAAAAATATTTTTGCTCCTGATTTCTCAAAGCAAACATTTTAATGTTTTAAATAACATTAGAATATTTTGTTTATACTTAAAAGTTAAAACATTTGCTTTTACAAAAAGTTACAGAAATCATAAAGTATGAACAAAAGAGCATCAATTAGTAGAATATTAGCCTGTCCTAACAACAATCACATTTTGCAAGTAAGTGCTTTAAACTATAAAACAAATGCATTGCAATAAAAACAAAAGAAATATACAAAAGATAGGCTGTTATTTAAAAGAAACTTGAATTCACTTGTTACAAATAGTTGCTCCATTTTTACTCAAATCGTCCAATTTAGACATCTTAAATCACAATTGAAATGTTAAACATATAAAATAAAATATCCAAAATATTCCTTTCAAAACTGTGTAAAGTCAAGAACTAGCAATCTCCAGAAACGCTAAAATCTTGAAAAAGAAATAATTTCATTATACAGAGGAGTCCAATAAATATAATACAATCGAGATTTTCAGGTAAAAATTAAAAGAAATCATAGCAAAATAACATAAATCTTTAAATTCAAAATCCTCAGGAATTATAAAATCTCTAAACTAAGAGGGTCGGAGTAAACATTTCGACATCGGCCTAAAATATAAAAGGTGTGCGGTGCGCGAATGACGTTGAGGACGATTGGTCGAGCTCAAATAAAACGGACGTTTCTCACCTTCATGTCAGTGACGATCTGCTGAAACAAACCGCCCAACGCGCTACACTCTCGCTCTATCGTCGCATCCATGTTTTTGAGCTTTCCAGGGGTTTGGTCTGAATCCAACTACTAGGTGGTACGGACGCTCTTCGCGGTGGACGCGACGAGTTCACTCCGCGTCGTCGACGCGACGGACGTTGACGGAAACGACACACCGCCGCCAGCGGGGATGTGCGATGCGGACCGTCATTTTCAACCGCGCGAGAACGAGAGACGGAGAGATACGCGCGCACACACAGACGCAGAGACAGAAAGAGGGGAGAAACCGAGACGGACGAGGGAAAATGAGACAGGGTGACAGCAACGAAGCGTGGACGCGTCCACGATTTGCATGCCCCGTCGTCGTCGCGAGAGTAGACTTTACCAGCGGATGCGCAGGGTGAATCTCACGAATTTTATCCTCGCCTCTCGCGACGCTCTGTAAACAACACACAACAGCAGTAACAGCGACGGACGATGACGGGACGCGCGGCGTCCCACACGACGCGACTGTCAACGAACGGATGGACGGACGATTGAACTCGCTCGCTCGCTTCGCGCGCGAATCTGTTTCTTCCGCGCCGCGCCGCCCTGGATCGTTGCCCTCTGCGTGGTGACCTCGTTCTAGAAATCGGGATCGATGTTATTCGGTATGTATGCGCCTAATCGTTATCCCGGAGGGAAAAGCGAGACGGAGAGGGACGGAGGGTAGAGAGAGCGAGAGGGAAAAAGACAGAGATAGACAGATGGGAAACATCTTCCGGATTCCATGGAGGCATGGAGCTTGTATACACTGTGCGGTTGGCTACGGTTGGCTAGCGCCGCTTTCGCGTGCGATTCACGCCGCCATACTTACCGCTCCTCACTTCTGATTGGCCGGATGTCGACGCGATTTTAAATCAGAAAATTACCTTTCACACGAAGAATTCTAAATGATAAAAGGGTCCAACTAACAATAAGAGCAAGAGAAATTTGAACGTGTAGCATAAAAATTAATTTTTTTGCAAAAAGAAAAAGGTACAAATAATTTTATTTGAATCTTTCTTTTTACAAAAAAAAAATTTTTTTTTCATTACACACAAATATATCAACATTTTTTTAACTTATAAATAAATCTCGATTAAGTGACTCAATTGATTAAAAAATAACTAAGATCATTTTTCTTTTAAATAGTTTTACAAGGATAGCATAACCATTAAATTGAGACTGATACTTTTCGATTTTTTTCTTTTCTATTACAAAATAATTTAATTATTTAAAAAACCTATAATTACACTCCTAATATTACATTCTTAATTACAAGGGCGGCCATAACTGAGCTGCTTCTGCATGCGCGGATTCCGGCAACCACTTTTGATAGGCTGGCAGCAAGACTGGAATTAAAATATTTTACATTCAATCATGAAAATATACAAATTTAATTATGTAAATATATAATGATATAATTATGTCTATCTAATATAATATAAATCGAAATAATCTTACATTTCTTATCCGAATCCCAGATTTCTATCAGTTTGTCTTTGGATAAGACTCCCTGCGACTGTAGCGTTTGTACTATTGCTTGAGTGCGTGGTATCAGCCTGGGAAAATCGTAGAATTGATATAATCTATCTGCTGAATCAGGATAAAATCGAAAGAAAATGAAACTAATAATTTACTTGGCCCATGATTTAGTGATACTACCGGGTGTCGTCAGTAATGACGGGACAAATCGTTTCAGCTTAGGGCACACTTGACCCTCCAAGAAGAAATATGCAAACCATTTGACGCCGTCCACCGTCAATGGATGCTCTATATCCATCGATGGTAATGCCCATCCGGCTTTTCCGAATGTACCGGACACGCGACAGATGATCTTCCCAGTTTTTGGATTATACCTATAAATAAAAATTATATATTCGATAATAATAAAGATTAACATTTTTATTAATAAGTAGAAAAAACATATTTTAAAATAACAATTGTATAATAAAGTAAAATTACCTTGGCGGTGGATCAACCAATGGTTCGCTGAGGCGACACAACATGGGCACGAATTTCGGCAACCACTCGGGTTCTATCGCTGTGACACCTCGCATGTACATCTTATTTGTTTCGTATATTTCTTGATAAACCACCCATTCCGGACTGGTTTTCCGTAGAGAGCATGAGGAATGCATGAACACAGGTTCCTCCATTTCTGGTGTTCTAAAAGATAAGAGAGATAAGAAAATATGCAATGAAGTCTGAATTATAATAAACAGCATACCTGTAGGCGTGTTTCCACTTGGCCTTATCTTGCTCTTCTTTTATCTCATCGGGTAAAACCTTTTTCGCGACTTGATCCGCCATACCTGCAAGGACTATTTGGCGCAACAATTTCGCTTGCATATCGCTCGGCAATGGCATTCTGTAAGAGTTTTTGTTGTAACAAATCTCCTAAACATATTACAATATACATAGTCGAATTCCAGTGTTCTGAACAATCAGGTCTAAGAACTTCCTCTAAAAAATTTACTCTATATAAATTTAGAATAGAAAATAGAATAAAGATTTTTATAATAAAAGATAAAACGTACTTTGGATCAATGATTAAATTTAAATTCGGTATGTTTAAATTAATCTCATTGGTGAGCTGTTGCCTAAGTTTCCTGATCTCAATCACAGCCTTGTGTCTCAAGCCATTTTCTTCGCAAAAGGGCAACAGTCTTCCCTTTGACCCTGCATACTCGGCAGTTCCGATGGCTCTTAATAAAACCATTAAATCGCCTGTACATAAACAGAAATGTATATCGTTTACCATTTATATATGTCATATGAATAAAAAATAATTTCGAGATTACAATACCAAGAAGTAAACTATTGCCAGTCCCAGCCCAGTAACGACGCTTTTGGAGCCATTTGCTCTTAGTTGAACCCTCCATGTCGAGTGTTTCTATCAGCACTTCTTGAACGCTGAGAGCCGCTACCATGCATATCGTATATTTCGACAAATTATGCTGATGAGATAATGCTAGCATCTTGCCGTAACGCGGAGATACCGGAAACGCGGCGATACTGCGTCCAAGCGGCGTCACCTTCGTGCAGTATATCTCTAAACAGTGAATCATCAATTCCTTTAGACAACGTAATGTTTGAATTATAAAAAAGAATCAGTGTATTGTTTCATATAATAATCAATTGCAAAACAGTTGCAATCGTAAACTTTAATTTTACGATTATAATTTTCGATACTGTCTAAATGACAATAAATGTTCACATTCGATTACCTTCTTCCCTCTTTGAAGGTGGCTGTAATGCTTCAAGTATCGTGAGTCGTTTTTCTGCAGACTTTAATTGCATAGTATCCGGTGGCGTGGGAAATGGAAAGTTCACGACTTTATCTATATTCATTGCTTTCATCTGCAGCAACAAATCGTCCACTGGTTTCCTCTGAATCTCCGATTGACTGTATTCTTCGAAATCGTTGTCATATACGGCCGATGAGTATAATCTGTGCGAAAGGAAACGATATATATATAAAAGCTCCAAAGAAAGAGGTTAAGTAAATAATTTACAAGATATATATATATTTTAAATATAGAATTTCTAAGGTCCAGTTTCACATTCGCGGTTAACTCTTAACCGAGATTCAACTTGTTTCTCATCTCTCTTGAATTCTAGAAATGGAAAGAGATAATGAATAAGTTAAACTTCAGTTAAGAGTTAACTGTGAGTTATGAAACTGAATCTAAAGAATTTATTGAAATAAATTTCTAAATAAAAGTTGCCCAAATCTGTAAGGACCAAAGGTTATTATATTAAAGATTTTCATATAAATGAATAAGGAATAAGTGTCGAGATACCTATAGCAATGACCAGGTCGAGTTCTACCGGCTCTGCCGGCACGCTGAGTGGCCGCTGCTTTGCTAGCATAGCCAATATGATATGTGCTTACACCTGTCACTTTATCGTACAGTCTAGTTTTACAACGTCCACTATCTACAACATATCTAATATTAGGAATCGTCAGTGAAGTTTCCGCAACATTAGTAGATACCACGCACAAGCGACATCCTTCTGGTGGTGGCTCGAACACCTAAAATCATTAAAACAAAAATATTTTATTATAAAAAAAGTCTATTATTTATTTTTGTTTTATTTTATTACGAAGTAATGTTAATATCAAAAGAATTATAGTTAATTTATTAAACTGTATATTTACTCTGGCTTGTTTGTGCCCGGGTAAGAGAGAATAAAGGGGTAAGACCCATAATGGCTGTGCGTTTGTTAGTCCCTTGAAATCAATTACATCTTTATCCTCATCTTCGTCTTCGTCCCAATTATCTTCGTCGTCCTGTATATTGATCAAATCTTCGTGCGTGTCATCAGTAGGACTTATTGAATAACTAAACATAAATATTTTTATAAATTTGAGAAATATTATGGAAGAGTAAAATAATTGTAGTTTGAATGTACATACTCATCAAGATTAATAGTTGGAAATATAATTTGCTTCTTTTGTCTCTGTTTATTACGGCGCAAGGCTTCCTCAGCGTCGAAATCGTCGTCGGAATCATCTTCGGAATCATCTTTTTCACTATGTTCTTTCTCCAGTGCTTCTGGCGCTTCATTTTTTTCGGAGTCTTTCACTACTTTAATTTGGGGTTGTTTATTCTTTTTCAATGGAAACGATTTGCGCAATTTACGCACAACTGTATGCACCTCTTGCTGACCTGCGACAAGTAAATAGTTAAAATTACACAGATTTGACTGTGATAATAATTTATGTGAAAATAGAGAAGTTTCACAAGGATTTTTTACCCGTTAAAAATATTAATATACCGCCTTCTGGAAGGCGAGTATGTATTCTTATTGCTTTTTGCAATGCTTCATTGACATAATCCTTGCTTGTTGTTCTATTAAAATGTATCTTTACAGGAAATTGTCGTGCTTTGACCTCAATTATCGGCGGCTTTATCTTGAACAGCCTGGTATTCTTTACGAATTCTTCCACGGACAGTGTAGCTGACATAATTATCAACTTCAAAGGATTACCGCGTTTGTTACGAAGCGGTACAATTCTCGACAATAAACCAATCAGGATATCAGTATACACGCTGCGTTCGTGTGCTTCATCAAGTATAATCACTGAATATTTTGTCAACAGGAAATCCTACAAATAAAAGAAAGACCAATTTAAGTATAATATGAATACAATAATTATATAATGTAATAATTATATAATAATGATATAATAAGATATAAATTATATTACAAAATTTAATTTATTACTCACACTTTGAATCTCTTTCAGTAAAACACCATCGGTCATGAATTTGATTTTCGTTTCTTCTGTAACATTTCCCTCAAAACGAATCAAATATGAAACCTCCTTTTCAGAAAGATTCAGTTCTTCAGCTACACGCTTGCTCATTGACATTGCTGCCACTCTTCTTGGTTCAGTTATTCCGATCAATTTATTTTGAGCGTATCCAGCCTCATATAAAAATTGAGGCACTTGCGTTGTCTTCCCTGCGATGGAATTGAATTATTAAAAAGAAAAATAATATTAAAAAATTGTTTTTTAGACCAATATTACCGTTCTAATTTAAGAAATTAACAGGCTTTGACATCACTACTGTATCTATTAATTATAAGTTTACATACCACTTCCAGTCTCTCCAGTAACTATAACTATTGGATTCTCATTTATCGTTTCAACTATAACTTGTTCTTCCGCAACAACAGGCAGTTTCAATCTAGCTACTTGTATCTCAGATTTTCTGTTTACAGGTATAAAAACAGCAGGCGTGTGAATTTTGGGAGTTTGCTGTCGTTTTTCCACTGATTGTTTAGATTCCCGTTTGTTGTTTGATTTAGTTGAAGTTGTTTCTTTGTCTACATCTTTGGTAAGATTCTTCTTACCTTCTTTTTCATTTATTTCGGTCTTTTCATTTGATACATTAGAAGCAGTATTATCAGGATGTTCTTCATTTTCCTCTTCATTGTTAGTATCATCTTCATCACTACTATCACTAGACTAAAAATAAATATTATTTGATTACTTTGTATAATTTTATAATTTTTCATCATAGTTACTTCAAACTTACTTCAAATCCAACTATATTTGGATCAAGTTTAGCTTCGTCTTGTTTTATATTATTCAAAATAGCTAATCTTTTCTTCTTGCTCATTTTAATAGAGTTTATAGTTATCTTTGTCGAATCACTTTCTTCTTCATTATCCGCTTTGCGTTTTAATTTTTCAACTGGTGTCTCAAGCTCTCGAAAATGACGCTTTAAGCCCTTGTTTTGCAAGGATGTCAGAGTCACATACTGTTTCAGTTCGGCAGGAGTTACTTGTACTTTTGCTAGGTCTTCCAACAACGCTGCTCTCTGCAAAATAAATATCATATTTTAAGTAAAGGTTTTATGTTATGTGTGTGTGTGTGTGAGT